AGAAAACTCTACACAATTTGTCTATCTAACTCACACATAAACTTCAATTTAAGTACAAATTTTGCAAAATTGCCAAAAAAATGCCAAAAAAAAAAATTTCATTTTAAATGTTGATTGACACTGTAAAATATCTTACGATGTGGCGCCAAGCATTGCTGAAAATGCAAAAATAAAAGGAGGTAGTTGTTGAGATTTTTCGCTTAGATTATGGTCTAGCTTCAACGTAGCGAGAAACTTTTTTTCGACGATTTACCTGATAAACTTACATTAAAGTAGGGAGTTAAGTAGGTAGGATTAGAAGACATCAGAATTCCTCGTATGGATGTTTTCAACACCCGTAGGGTTGCAGAAGCGTTGCCATATTGTAATAAAGTTTGCACTGCACGCCGATCTTCTATGAGGTCGTGGCACTTGCTAAGACGGACCTGCTCATTCCTGCAACAGTTGAGACTTTTGCGTGGGCCTACCTATAAATTATCTTGAGAAGGTTTCTATCAAATCGGAATAGAAAACATAACCATAGTCGATGAAGGAACAAATTAAGAACTACAAAAGAATTGCTTTCATCTTGAATGGAACAAATATTTCAGGACGATAGAGTGCTCGTAAGAAACCAGTTATTTTTGAACATAATTCGCTTGTGGTTGCCAGCTATGATGGAATCTATGTATAATAGGCCAATGCGTATTTAAATAAAAAGACTTAACAGTGTGCACAAGTTCAACAAAGATTCCTGCACACATAATCGGAGGAAAAGCATCTATCTGTGGCTACAGTAATCACTTTTATATTTAATGAAAGCATAATCTCTACGCCACATGGATTTATGCACACCTGTATTATTTATTTAACTTTCTGTATATTATTTTATTTAAAATACAGTAATACATTTAATATTAATAATATGATGTACACGAATCCGAGTATTACAGATGAAGTTATAGGCGGTATAAGGACGTAATAAAAGTAAAGCAGGTCCTGATGAGACACGGGGTTAAAATTAAGTCGAGCCCAGGTTTTAAGGGATATGAAGGCGGAAGGACTCAATAATGTTAAGAAGTTTAGATGAACAGAGTATGTGGCATACCAAGATATCAGTATAAAAATTCATTACACGACCGAACTTAAAGATTCCAGAATCACTTAGAGACTAGAGAAATATTTAACAGAGAGAATCACTAAAGACAGATTTAGTATCTTTCACAATAGTTTCAAGAAAAAGATATCCCGCAAGCGGAAGTGAGATAAAAAAGGAAAAGCTAGCTTCTGAATGTTAAATGTTCCTTTACCAAACAAAAGAATAAACAAATCTTTCCACACTCCAAAATGTCGAAATAATTATAGAAGTCATAATTTTATGGTAAGGACAGTAAAAATTATTAATAAGCAAATTAATATTGACGCATTTCATACCTAACCAGCGCGGTTGCCAAAGGACTCTTTACTACGGAGTACTGTGTTAAATAAAAAAAATGTTAGCATTACTGTTGCTTTTTCTATAATTAAGTTAATTTTATTGTACTCATGGTCTTTCATTCCTTGTATTTATTTTATTTTATTAAGTATAAATTAAAATTACTAAATATGAAAAAAAATGATGATTAAAACACTTAAGAAGCCACTTGTAAGTGGCTTTAAGTGTTTTAAATCACTTAATTATCTTTGTTAATAACTGTAAGTTTTGTAACTAAAATAAATTGAAATAACCTATAAAAATGCTTAAAGCAAAGTAAGTCTATGCAATTAGTTGTATCGGGAAAACATCTGAATAAGAGTTTTATAGCTCTTACTAAAATTATAAAGGCGAAAGTTTGTATGTATGGATGGATGTATGTTACTCTTTCACGCAAATACTACTGAATGGGTTTTAATGAAATTTACAATAATATAGCTTATACATCAGAATAAGACATAGGCTATAATTTATATACATATTTCAAGTACATCTGTCTTTCTGTCTGAATGTTACGCGTTCAGCCTATTTCCACGCAGACGTAGTCGCGGGCAGCAGCTAATAATCTATAAAAATGCTTAAAGCAAAATTGAGTCTATGCAAAGAGTCGTACCGGGAAAACATCTGAATAAGAGTTTTATAGCTCTAATTGGGAAAATCCCATTTCAACTGTCTCCGTGTCTTTATGAATAATTATTATTAGTACTCTAAGATTAAAGAGGACATTTATGCATTAAAGGTTAATTATAATTCTTGTATTAAAGGTTAATTATAATGTTTTCAAAATAATCTTGTAAACCTTTTCAAGCTGATTTCCTACAATATAATTGTAATTAAGGAATAATAGAAGCTAATAACTTAGAAATAACAGTACTATTATTTGTAAAACAACGAAATATTATTTGCAGTTCTCAGAAAATAATATTTCTCCTAGGATACAAAATATAAAAGGAAAACGTTGTCAGTTTTGACCAATGAAATATTGGTCAATAATATCAGAGAAACTCGGCTAGTTTTGTTTACTTTTTATCTACTTAAGCTACCACTACTATGCTTGTGATTTGATGTTTATGAGTATATATTTAAATTAACTGAATATGTTACTATAAAATAAGATTTTAATATCAATCGATCGAAATATTACTTTAATTTATACTTTTATATTTAATTTATATTTTTTATATTACTTTTATTAATATTATTTTCGTATCAAAAAAGGAAGCGAAATGCATGACTTATTTTTAATTGTAGTAATAGACTCTGCACTTAAGACGAACCCTTAAAAGCGAATTTTATGTTGACCTTTTGTCGAAAAATTTTGGCGCTGCGGTATTCGAACCCACATCTTTTGGGTAACAGGCCCAGACGCTCGATTCACTGACCAAAGCGACGAATATCATCACGACGTGAATGTCTAGACATCTATCCACTTTCTTATTCGCATTGCAGGGTCGAATTCCGCAGAGGCTAAAATACTTTTTTTTTTATGTGAAAAGTTGCCAAACGAGCAGACGGTTCACCTGGTGTTAAGTGAATACCACCGCCCATGGACATCTGCTACACCAGAGGGTAACAGATGCGTTGACAGCCTTTTGAAAATTAGGCTCCGGCTACCTCACCAGACGAGGTCTTGGTACTTACCCGGACGGGCCTGCCCATTCGTGCAACAGCCGAGACTGCTGCGTGGCCCTACCACCGTAAATATAATTATTATTAAACTTAATAATTTACCTATAATAAGTACACACCTAAGAAGCATAATGTTCATTATTATCCTCAGCAGTCTAGGCAGATAAATATAAATGTATAACAGTCATACATTACAAAAGAAAAGACAAAATTTAAACAAAGAAAAGTGATTTAAGAATTTGTATTTGGAATCTTTTCAACTAGCCAAGTTTTCTTAATAATGTATTCATTGATATGAGCAGAATGTTTAAGCAAACTGCTTTATTTTTAGTTGGTTTTAAGCTTACATTATGAGAACTTCGCAAATTTAAACTTTTTAAAACACCTGTACCCTGTTAAATTTTATAATAATGCCATATATAAAAAGTCAAATGCTCATAAATTTTTGAAAGCATTTTAAAACATTAATTATTTATATGTTCACTTGTCTTTAGCATATACTATGCTTCTTCTTTCTCCTGCCCATGTGCACTACTTTGTGGGGGCACATCATACACTAGGTATAAACTTTAAAATTGTCGTCCAAATTGTAGTTATTTGTGGTCTTAAAGTTTATTAAAAAAGGCTTAAAAGAATGTGTTATTAACACCTATATTAAAGGTAGATTATGGTATGAATGGTAAGTTCCGTAATAATCTACATACAGCCTTGTCGCATCAGGTAGTCCTCAACCGAACTGCGGTAGGGCCACGCAATAGTTTCTGCTGTTGCACGAATGGACGGGTCCGTCCGGGTAATTACCACAGAAGACCGGCGTGAAGTGGAAGTTTTATACTTCTGCGTTGCGTCTGGTGAGTGTGGTAGCGGGCTCGTTTTATTAGAAGGTGGCAACGCATCTGCAAAATTTGGTTATTACATTACAGTTTGGTGGCGGTTATTACATTACATCAAGTGAACCGCCATCTCGCTTGCCATCTTGTCTGTCATAAAAATACGGGAATAAAAGTTGTAGAATCATGGTAGTACCTAATAAGTAATTTTAAACATGACTCGATAAATTAGAAGTATGATTGGCCTCCTTAAAGCAAACAAGCGGAAACGTTTCTAAATCAGTCCGATGAAGCGTTTGAAAATTTAAACGTTGGTCACGTAATGAAAACAATACAAAGAGTGGGTCACTGAGTTACTACGTGATAATGTCTTTATAACATTAATCTATCAATTCGTTTTAATCTCAAATCGTCACTTTTTAAAGAGCCATGACAGCTCAGAGTGACGAGCGACCGCTTTTAGAATCCTGGTATCGGCACTGGGATTTGAACTCTGGTCGTATTTTGAATATTGGCCAATGAGATTGTTAATTTTAAGTGCTGAATTATCACTGAGTGGTGAGGGAAAAACATCGTGAGGAAACCTGCATATTTTCCAAGTAATGACAAAAAAGTCGTATATATTTGTGATGTCCGCCAATTCGCAGTGGGATCACGTGATCGAACATGTTCTAATACGCTCTAAGCAGTGGGAATTCACTAGCTCTTTTAAAAATGGCGTTTCATTTCTACTCAACATTTTATTTTACATTACACTAAACAGACAATTCATACAGTTTTTTTTATTATATACAAATACACTGTATGACAATTAAATTACACGATTGTTTTCATAACTCATACAGACGATTGCAATGAATCATATATTTCAATTACTTTTTAGTTGTTGTGTAGCTATGTACAACATATTTGCTTACTTAATAGTTGTGCGATATGACACTATAAACATTGTACAAGCTATAAGCAAACTGCTTATGTTTACAGTAAACTTAATCGACGTAATAAGCAAATTGTCACTATTTCGCTACACACGCATCCGTATGTCTTACGTGTACTATCGTAGACTATCATAGTAGCATGATACTCACATCAACCTCTATTCCGGGAATACGAAATATCTTAAGTGGCGGAACGTCGCGCGGGGAATAGCGGCAGAACTCTCGATCCCCGCGATACCACTTCACTGTGTATAGCACCTCTTGCTCTAAATCATAAACGCATTTCATCTCCACCCTCGAACCCCGCTCCACTGACTCTGGCACCACTAAGTGTACGTTCCGCAAGCATAATGTTCCTGCCGACAAAAAAACATATATATTTAACAACGTATACATAAGAAAAAAAAGCTTAGTAGCAATGGACCAAAACTTGTTTCATTTAATAGTAAAGGTAAGTATTTTTAAAGAAAGTAAAAATATTTTCAGTTGTATATAAAATTACACTAAAAAACGTATTTCAAACTGTTCAGAAAAGTGAGGGGCTACCTCATCTACCAAACGATACGCAGAAGTATAACACTTCAACTTCACGTCGGTCTTCTGTGATATCGTGGTACTTAGCTGGACGGACTGGCCCATTCGTACAATAGCGACGACTGTTGCGCGAATCGCTGGTTGTAAAATGTTCGGTGCCGTCGGGTTCGAACCTGTGTTTTCCATTGGCTGAGGCCAATTGAGATAGTAAAGTAACCTCTCAGTAGGCCAACACTTTCAAAGAACCTGTTTACAATGACTGTTTAAAATAAATGCTACATTTGCCCATTTTTAAACAAAAATCATGGAGTTTCAGTGCAGAGACGGGTGTTATACGTTGTTAAAGTATGCACACCAGAAGCAACAAGCATTGCTGAAAATGGAATAAAAAAATAAACCAAACACATCTCCAGGTTTCTTTAGTCCGTGTATTTATCGGCCACTTAGATTAATTGATACAGCGTTACACGGAAGAAGTAAGTTCCGAACACACCGAAAAAGAATTTTCGGTATAGTTTCTACATTAAATTCGCCGAAACTACTTAATTGAACCTGGGTTTCACATTATAATCTGTGATCTATTCATATATCAAAATGTATGTATATACTATAGTTTTAAAGCATAAATTAATCCGTAAATATTACATTAATAAGCCACTCCTAGTTTACAAGTCAGCTTTATGAGTGTTATGTAATGGTCTGTTGACAACTGGATATTGAAATGGAATCTTAAGGAAATAGATTTAAAAGTTTATGTATCCTCTGTATGCTCTGATATAGAAATTGTACAGATTTCAAAATATTTATAAGGAACATAATAAATATTGTAAAATATTTATTTGTTATTTAACTTTTTAAATTTACATTGTTACACAAGCTATTATTAAATTAGAGATCTCATTCTTTAAAATTGTGGAGTCATTGAAATAAATTTAATAGCCAACGAACTTTCTATTAGAGTCTAGTCTCGGGACTGAAAGCAAAAACATCAGTTAATACAAGAAGATTAGAGTCAAAAGTTGTTATTTTTAAGATCAAGGTGAAAACTTTGAAATAATCTTCAAAATAAAATTAGATTATAAAATACATAATTAATTTATTTCACTATTTTCTGACGTTCCTTTCTTTTCAAAATATTTTATATAACACAATAAAGTACCTATCTTTTCAAATTATTTAATAGTACACTAGTAAGATTTGTACTTATTTACGCGTCGCAATCCTATCGGGGAAAAGTCTTTAAGAAATTAAATATTAAACGGTCGGAACAGAGAACTGGAAATATTTAATGGCACACATATTAAATTGGTTCGGATCATCTCACATACATTTCATTTTATAAAGATGTGTAAGAGAAAACTTTTATCATTATCTACCGAGTAACACAATGATATGTACATTGTGTTACTTGTGCTTTAGAATTACTAAAATAATTTTAATACGAGCCGCAGCGTAGCGAAGGCCTGCTGTATTGATGGTTATAATAGTTGGGATAAAACTTAATTGTCACTCTTGATTTTAATTATGGAGGAGTCTTGTCTTAAATCATGTTTTTATAAGATTTTTTGACATCATTTTTCCATAACTTTTAATATAAATAATAATTTTTAAATATAATTTATACTAAAAGTTAAATAAAAATATAATTTTTCCATAAATTTAAATATTCAGCTACAAGGTCCTGGATATTGTACAAGCTTGATTGTGAATGTAGTAATTTCTATATATAGATAGAACTATTAAAACACCTTTAAAACCCCAAATTAAAGAAATCACCTAATAAAGAAACCTTCTTGGTTAGAATGGAAAGAAGTGGAAGATGAAGATCATCAGTATATGACTCATGTATGGTCTTAATCATGATATTCCTATTTTTGTCCTCAGTGCTTATGAAAAGACATACTGCCATCATGACTTCATTAACTTTTTTACGACCATTTTGAAAATTAAATTGCTGCTTTGACATAGTCTGGGTTCATTTCGCAACGACGGGTAAAAGGGTCTACGAAAATGAAATGGCTTATTCTCCTGGATACGGATTTCAGAAAGTAAATTATCTGTTAAATCCGTTACAGCGCAGCTGCCGTGACTTAATTAATGTCTTTAATATTTGATTGCCACCTTATGTTTTAATAAGGTATTGGTTATAATGAAATAAAAAAAAGCAATGTCCCCCTTTTTTACGACATGAAATGTTCTAGTGTTAAGAAATTTAAACGCACTGAAGCAATAAACGTGAGACATAGTATGGGTTAAATTGGATTTTGGGTAAATTCATTAATTGGGTAAGTTCATTTCATCCCTATAGAGCTTTAAATTTATTCTTTGGAATTCACTAACCTTAATAATAAATTTAATTAATGGCTAAAATCAAGGCATTGTAAGATCAGATGTCTCAAAAAAGTCTCAAAAGTTCTTTCCTCGATTCAAAAGAGATTCACTCACAGAAATCCTTAAAGATACAACCCAGACAATCGTCTACGTAGATATTGAATGTGTATTTTTTACTCAAACGTTTTTTTTTTTTTCTCTTCGATCTCAGTGTTACGTAGTTAGTACGGAAAAAACGATGCCATTAATGTTATTTCATGAATAAAAGAAGAGTACCTACTCTCTTTTCAACAAAGAACAACATGGTCTTACTTAAATTTATGTATATAAACCTATGTTTAATAACAATGTTAATATTCTATAATGGTGATCTCAACATCTTAATTTTAAAATGCGCGAAAATACTGTAGAGTAACTAGAAGTTTGATTTATATTGGTTAAATTAATTAGATCAAAATTTTAACGTTAATGGCATAACGCGTGACATTGCCATGTTGTTCAAGCGAACCTATGAAGTTTCTCCATACTGAATTGAACTGTGTGCCCGTATAAGTTTTCAGTCCAAATAGGACCCTTTTTTAACTGAAAACTTCTATAAGTACGTTGGAACTTCTATAGAAAACTTCCAAGCTTTAATCAGGAGACATAATACCCGCATTTGTATTAAATTATACTCGTGCAAAAAGAATAGAAATATTTTTGGCCTAATTGGTACAATTATAAAAGTCGAGAGTTCTTTATTTATTTGCATTACACGATATTAGCAATATTATCAATGTCGTGTTATGTGCTTAATGTTCTTTGATAACACATTAGCGACTTTATTTTAACGTATACCAATGACCTTCCTAAAGGCTATCGTTATATTTATTACGTGAGCAATGGACCACGCTAAAATCACTGTTTACTTAAATAAAGTCATTTCATGAGATAGAGTCATTCTAAGAGATAAACATATTGATTGTTGCTTCACAGTACATACTTGAAAATGACATGTATATCCATAAAAATGAGGATAAATTTACAAGATATGGCAATGTGCACGATATCAATACTAGGAAAAAACATAAGTAAATTATAAGCAATGTCAGTTCTAATACATAAATTAATACGTTTTTACGAAATCCCAGAAAACGTTCAAAATGTAAAAATTTCTAAATAAGGAAAAATATTTGAAGTACATAATATCTGTATGTTAAAAGCTACTATAATATTAATGATTTTTAATAGACAACATACACTTGAAATAACTTGATAGCTCCAGGGTCTTTCAATTGGACTTTAATATATTATAAACATGTACAAATTGTTCAAAAAATGATAATAAAATATTGGCATTATGAGTTTCTTTCGCCAATCCTTCTTAGTTCAGTGACTTTTGTCTGAACCTTCTCCGGAATGTCATTATTTAAAGTAGCAATGAAATAAAGATATTTAAATTTGAATTCATTATATTATACTTTTATTAGATAATTATATAAACCGAAAATCGAAGTTCTGAAATTATTAAAATAATCCGCAGACATTACAGAGCAATCAATGTTCATAAAAACAATAAAACCTTTGTTTGTATATACGAGTGGGAGCTATGGTTTTAATGGCATTAGGTAACATTTATTGGTTGTAAAAATTCAACCGATATATTTCATTTTATTGTTACCTTTATTGTTATTCATCGATAAAAGTCGTACAGTCTCTTTTTATAATGGTTTCATATTTCTGTATACGAAATTGGGCATTAGTATGATATCATACGACTGAACATAACTCTATATAGAAAAAGTATATGTCTGTATATAAATGAAGTAAATTTGTTAAATATTAAGATCATTCTTAATTTTACAAGACTTTGATAACATAAACCAGATTGTATACTTGTGAGACTGTACATGTGTGTACATTTATTATTTTTCAAAGGATACACCATCATTACAAACAGTTTTGAGCAATCAAAATTATGTTTAACGATGATATTATATACAAAGACGTGACACTAGCGCACCAAAATTAAGGCGATCATATTACACCAATTGATGTAATTAGACTGAAATTCTATATATTTTTCCGTAATCATTTTTGATTTTTAATCGGACCGTAAACCGCCTCAATAGTGACAAAAGGATGTTGAACAACTCACTTATGCCGCGGCCATGAATCATTAAAATATTCATAAAGCCGAGAGTAAAATTAAAAATGAACTGTAAAATACGTATTATTATTTAATTAAAAATTGATGAAATGATGATGAAAGTGTTAGCTGCTTTTAAAAATAAAAATATGAAAAATAAACATATCAAATGTCATTTGTATTCGTCAGCCTTAAAGCTTTACAAATCGTGGAACCTTCCATACATCGAATAATATTCTCATCGGTGGGTCGGGGCATACTAATATGAAGCTCACTCATTGCATTACCTCACAGAAGGCGGGCATGAAGTGGAAGTTAACACTTCTGCTTTTCATCTAGCGAGTGAGGTAGCTGGGGCTCACA